TTGCAATATAAAACCAGCTCTAACGTGTTATAACAAGAGTTCTTGCAACTCTTTGTTTAAAAGTGTCTGTATGTTGTAATTTTGAACGGATTTAAATAATGTTTTTTAAGGGGTTACATAGGTCAAACAAAAAAAAATTGAATTTTTCTTTCTTTTTTTATTTGATAGTATTACATGTCAAGAATATTTTCCCAAAGTTATATGATAATTTGAATAAAACTCTAGGAAAGAGAGAGAATTTTTGAAATCTCTTTTTGTTTCGACCGGTACCTGTGCCATTGATTTTTAGTTACTTAGTCCACCTTTTTTTTATCAGTCATTTTTAGTTTTGGAAAACTGACACCAGATTTGTAATCAGTTGGCAATTTTAAATATTTCGACTTGAAATTTTTTTTACAAATACTTGTATATATAATAAACATGACGGTTTAATTTAATTTAATGTACGACTCATATTTTGTTAGAAAAAAAATCCTGAAAATCGGCCTGTTTTTTCCCTTATCACAGTAAACTTCCCCCTTAATTTCTAATATTTATTAACAAAAATTTTATAATTTAGGTACTTGTTTTATAATGTAATTTAAGGTAACCAAGTGCTCAAATAAAATAAGTCATTTATTATATGAAAAAAAATTATAAAAGAACTTACATATTTTGGCCTTTTGACCTATGTAACGCCTTAAGTAAATATACTATTTGATTTACCAAGAATATACGAGAAAATAGTTATTTATGATACAAGTGCGTAAAGTGAGTGCTTATACGAGTGTGATGCAAATCACACAAGTATAGTCAGATTTACGCACGAGTATCATACAACATTTTTTGCAATACCCACCTCTAAAGTTAAGTACCTATTATGAAGAATTCCAACTCGCTATTAGAATAATTTCGATTGTATAGAATTAAATAAATCAATCGAAGATCAGGAAAAATATCATTAGGCAGTAGTGTATAAATTTAAAAGTAAAATTCTATTTTTAATTTTGTGGATTTGTATGGTCTAAAACAATCCTTATATTATGTGAGAAAAATTTTGGTGCCTAAAGTAAATTTCAGTGCGTAAAGTGGATCACTTTACACACCGTTTTAAAAAGAGCTTCTTTACACACACTTTTTGGTGTGTAAAATTTAACTTTAGAGGTTATAGTTGCAAAAATTAATTTGTTACTATTTTAACCTTTTTACTATTAAATTAATTAATATAATAACAAATTAAATTTTTTTCATATATTCTTGGTAAATTTAATCTTATATTATTTAAAAAAGCACATGATTCAATTCCGTGCAAAATTAAAACATGCAGACACTTTTAAACAAGGAGTTACAAGAACTCTTGCTATAACGCGTTAGAGCTGGTTTTATATTGCAATGCAAACTTCAAAGAAGGATAAATTATACAACCATAAATATTTTTAAAAGATCTAAATTGGAAATTGTTAAGGAGGATATGAGATTTCATATGTATTTTACATCAATAAATTTTTAGAACAAAAATCAGTTTTTAGGGGTGGTCATATATGTTGAGGATGGTTTTGAGGGGTAATCTACAGCAGTTATAAATATTATTTCTAACAATTTTCCAATATTTTTTTTCCTTGTACGATATTTCTTTATTTGTGTTAGATCAAAAATCAGTCTGTAGGATTGGTATTATATGTTGGGGATTGTTTTGTGAGGTAATTTAAAGTAATTACATATAAATATTCTTTCTAAAATTTTTTAACCAGTTTTAAGTTAATCTGACTAATTTTTGAAAAATCTTTGGATCTATTGAATTCGTAATTTTAATTTAAAAATGTTGATTTCAGATTCAGTAATTTCAAGAATCCCTATATATCGACTTTCAGTTGAACCAGAATAATTTTTGAAAAAATCTTGCGTCATATTGTATCCGCCGTTTTGAATTTTATAATTTTGATATTTTACTCCAAAAATTCGAAAAAATCTTTAGGCCCATTAATTTATTTTTTTCATCTGACTCAGCTCTGTTTGTGCTACCTCATAGTTTATTAGTGAATATATATTTATTACTTTAACTCATTAAACATACAAGAACCTAAACTTATTAATAATCTTATAATATAATAAACACACTCCACAACTCTAGTATGCTGGAAAATAATAATGTAATACGGAACTGCGCACAAACTATATGTCAATCGACGCTTTGTCTCTATAGTCAACTGTCGTAAGGTTCTGTTGTACTTCCTAAATCCGGAATGAATTTTCTTTAATAAGTAACAAGTCCCAGAAAGCTACGAACTTCTTCTTTCGAGGATGGTGGTCTGAGTTTATTAAATAATTTGAGTTTATTTTATTAGTTACTGATTTGTAGTAACTTTTTTACACTTTATTATTTTGTGCATTTGTAGGAAAGAAATTTAAATAAATAAATATTGAATCCGGCATTTTGTATTGTAATAGTATTTTAACATTATATTCAAATTCAGTGACCCTAAAAACTCTTGAGTAACGAGTTTCAAGTCAATCAGATCAATTTAAAAAAAAATTTGCGACATTTTAAATCATACATTTTGAATCTTGGACTTCCAATTAGTAATAAAAGACCCCAAAAACATTATAATAATATGTCACGGAACATATTTGCATCTTTTTAAGAAGTTAATTAATCAGTATATGGGTGATTTTCCACAAACTGTAATTTTTCAGGTTCTACTTTTTTTAAATTTTTGTATAATGAAAGAATATTAACATTATTTTACTTCTAATTTTTGGTACAATAATCAGTAAAAATGATTCTACACGAAACTTAAAATTCATAAAGATATTCTAGAAATAGTAAAATAATGCTGCCACAGTAGTGACCTAAAATCCACCGCTCCGGTGGAATTTTCGATACCGGCCCGGTACAGGCATTTCTGCCGGCTTGGGCCGGTACTGGTTTTGATGCTGGCATACCTCCTTTGCCGGTATAAAAATGTAATTCAATTTTATGTACCGAGCCGGTTGTTTTGTAGTAACCGGTCCGGTACCACAGTGTCAGCACAGGTGGATGTCCGACATTACCATCGGGCCGGTGTCATACCGGTCGTAAAGTTCGGCACACCTCCAACTTTTCTGCCTGGAATAATGAGTTTATTTATAATAAACAATTAAGTGGCTGGATGCTATAAGAGGATACGCCCCAAGTTAAGGGGGGAAACTCGTGTAAATGCACGTTTTTCCAAGATTTAAAAAAAAATGGTAAAGTTTCTGGTGAGTTTCATGAATATTAGTTAAAAATTATCTGAGTTGCATTGCACGGCGCGCTAAAAAACACGTTGAAAGTTTTCGATACAAAAAAGTAGTGTTTTTTGCGATGTGCCACGGCAGTGACATTTCCAGTTTATTTTGTCTTACTCATAGCCATTTTATTTTTAGCAAGTTTCCGAAATAATTTATCATGTTGCTAACTATATATCTATGTTATGAAAGTATAAATTTTATTTTAAAAAATTCTTACCTCAGAAAATGGAATACCACGGTAGTGACATCATAATTTTTTAATTTACTAAAGAATATTGCTTTCATATCTGTTTATAACCTTTATTATTTTCTTAATATTCATTTCCTATCATTTCCTAATGCAAAATTGGTTGTTGTTGACATGTTATTTTTAATTTTGTGATTGTAGAAACTCAAACAGAAAATGAATGTAAAATTCTCGAAAATTTGGGGACAAAGTTTGGTGACGTTTTGTAAACAATAAATAAACTAATACACATAAATGTAGGGAGTCTAATCATATTCAAGATTACATTAGCAGATTTTTTCTTCTTTGATAATTTTTTTTGTAAAACCAGATGGAAGGGTACAAAAACTGGGATGGAAACATGCCATGGTAGAGACATTTGGAGACTGTTTTATGTGATTACATTGGCAATCGTCAAAATGAACAACTTTTTTATGTGGGTCCACTTAGAATAACAAGTCCAAAATATAGTTCATATGAAGCAGAACGTAAATTTATTAATACGCAGTCTATATCTGTTAGGGACATAAAAATCACAGTTTGCGGAAAATCACCCATATTCTCTTTATGTGACTACAGCGTCATTCAAGTGGTACAGTAAATAGTCCATTTTGGATTTGGATTTTTCACTTGGAATTTTGGGCTGAGCTATAGGCTAAGTCACAATCATTCCTAGTAAAAAAAATTTCAACTTTTTGAATATATTTGGTCTTCACAATTAGAACCTCTCCTTAACTGTTAGTTACATTTATTTTCTATTATACCACCTTATATATCATATATCCACGAAAGTGTCATTAAAATAAGATTGTATCTTCAATTTCCATCAAATATTTGCTATCTAGTAACAATTGCTTACATAGCAGCATTGCTACACGCAATCCTTCTCCAGGTTTTTCTAGTGTATGCGAAAGGTATATATCTCAATGAAAAGGTTTACATTTAAAGAATAAAAATAAAACATAAAACAAATTTCAATATCGCAATATTATTAAATTTTTAGTCAGAAAATTGTGCATTAAAAGGTGTAAAAATTACAGTTAGGTCGAAAAAGCAGAAGAAGTGAAATTATGGAATATAATTTTTAAATTTAGAAGGAGCGAGTTTCAATATTTCTTTACCAAACTTACAGTACAGATAATTCAAATACATGGTATAATATAAAAGTAACAAAAATATAATTTTTTGTGAGTTTTGACAAAAAATAATAATTTTATGTTTTCTGATAGAGAATGCAAATATTAATAAATCAATAATTATAATGTCTTGTACAATTTTTATTGGGATTAAAAGGCAACTTTTCAACACTATTAGTTCATGATTTTAGAAAAAAGTTTAGGTTTAGTTCACCCTAAAATGCATTGAAAATCAAGTTTGGTTTGACGAAAATCTTGCTTAAAAAATATTAGTTATTTGTACACGTAAATAACCCATCTTGTTAAAAATAAAAAATTTAAGTTATTCTTAAGTTCAAAATAATATTTTTGGAATATTTCTTAAAGAAATAAAAACGGTTCAAACTTACACTAGGCGTAACATTTCCTTGATTCAACTGTTGTGCTGATACTTGATCATGGAAGAAATTCTCACTTTGATTTGTAGATATGTTTTGAGCAAAATCAAGCAACCGCCTGTTTGGACTGTCTGGTGTTGTTGCAAAATCATTTGGTAAATTTGGAAAACAAGTAGAATTACTTGTTCGCATATTTGACAAGGTAACATAATGCTCGTAATTTTTATAACAACCAGCACCCGTTTGCGATGGTCCTCTATCACAACCAGATTCTCCTTCAGTACTGTTTCCATCGACACCAGACATGTTATGACCTGTAATTAAAAAATTGGCATTATTTCTTATACATACTTCGCGTTCAACAATTTATATTTAAGACGGTAAGAATTAAATCTGCAAACAGTACGAAAAAAATAATAGATTATAGAAAAAATTTGTATTTGAGGCAAATTATATTGATAAACATGAGTTACAGTACTGTTGTGCCTAAAATCCTTAGTCATTATCAAAAGCCAATAATTGATGACTACAACGTTTTAAACACTAATATTGTCCACCTTCTAAAATCAAAAACTACATTTATTAATTTAAGAAAGGGAGGGCACGGGATGTTGTTTTGAAAATTTTTTTTTTATGTTATCTTGTAGGGTCATATGAAAGAACTTTTTTTACAAACTGATAACTCACTAGGCTTAAACAACGGAGAAAATCAAATTTGAATATTCGCTGATATTCACGTTTTTCTTGAATTTCTCTAGGCATTCGGATTCAATTTAGAGGTTTCCATTTTCTCACGGGTACTTTTTTATACATTGTAATGATCGTATATTTTTAGCTAATAGGATTTGCTCGCCGGATGGAGCTAGAGTATTCCAAAAATTATTTTACTAGATTTTAAAGTAATCAAAACATTATTTTATTCAGGAACCTTACTGTTAACTGTGATTTTGATAGGAAAGAAAAAGTCAATAATGAAACATTATTTGAACCTTCGAAAGGAACATATATTGTAATAATAAAATAAAGTAATACAAAAGTGAAGAAAGGAACAAATAAAAATTGTCTTAGTTTTCCGTTTACAAACTGTTGGTGCAGATCAAACATAATAAAATAACAAAAATCTAGAATTCAAAGAAATACAGAAATTAACATTTTCTTTTTGTTACACATAGTAGTGTCGAAAACGGATTGCCGCAACTATTGTCCTTTCGCCATTTTATTCCGGCTTGTAAATAAATTGTAACATTAAGCCTAGTCTAGTTTAAGAATAAGTCAATTCCCTTTGTTTCTGTTTATTCTCCAAAGATATTCTAGAAATTGACTTCCGGATTTCGTTGTCGAACAAAAGTAGATTTCGTTTACGCTGAGAATTAGCGAGGACCAATCAAAGGACTAGACATTAGGATGCTACTGAGAACATGGTCTAAGAATGCGAGGACGATAAGCACTAGGTTTTCAAGGTGTTCACTAGACACAGAAGTACCTATACTCCAGTGTACAACCTTCTCTAGGTAGCTATATATTGAGAGAAGTACCTCTACAATATATTCCAGGAGTGAGGCCGCTTCCACTAGGTCCGAGAAGTGCATTGAGGCCATGCAGAGAACGATCTGACGAAAAAGTCTGAGCGAGCGAGGTATAATCACTCGCCGGGACTAGTGGGAGAACGACGTGTGGTGGGAGAACAGAGGTGTGGTAATACGAGCCGATTGTCATTCTCTCTCTTACTAACGGCTATAATAACGTATATAGCTACATCGTTACATCCCCCCCCTTTAACGTGCGAATTCTAATAAGCGACAAAGAAAATAATAAAAATGCATAATGACATCAGCTGGCATTTATGAGATCCTGGTGATCGTAGACTTTTTCTTGAAGGTGTCTTTCAGCAAACGTATATCTTGTTTATAGATTATTAGTTCTACTCGCTGGATGAAGGTGTTGATGTAGTTCAATTCTGATCGTCGAACATGTAACCTGTAGGTGGGTAACATGTTCCAATTGTTGTCCTGTCCAATTTGTAAGGATCTTTTTGTCTTTTGAGGATTCCTTGAGGTTGACGGCTCGTCTAGGGCTTGACAGTCTCGAAAAATGTCTTTATCCTCTTTGTAGTCTTCTGGGTCATCTTGTGTTTGATTTAGTAACTGTGGTTAGAATTTGATGAAGGCTACTAGTCTTTGACGAAGTTCTGCTACGGTGCCTTAGGAGTGGATTTGATGATGCTCCAGTTCGGCGATCAGTTGTGCTTTTGAAAGTTGGTAAATCCATTTGACTCTCTTTGTTAATGATATTAGGTTGGATTGTGAGATTTTAGGTGATCTTTAACGTTATAAGGTATCAGAATGAATGTGATGAACGCTGTTTGTAAGCTTTTATATAGTTTCTATCCCTGTTCTAATTACTGTTTATTTAAGGTGGGAAAGAGCTGTTGGGTGAGAAGAAGTGATTAGAGGTAAATTTTTAATTTAACCTTTATTCATTGTTTTGATTCATTGTTTTGATCTAGAAATATTTTACTTTATTTTTAGAATAACCATATGCGATCCCAGAAAAAAAGAAAATGTAATTCTGTTGCACAGTGAAATTTAATCAAAATAAAAGAATCGACTTTTTTAATATATAAGCACAGAATAAAAAAAAATATTCACAATTAATTATTATATTTTACACTGATTTAAAGTCTTCTACAGAGGTAAGCTTTTGTCAGTAATAAAATATTGACCAGGGATAAATATTTATTTAATGTTTATAATATTGTGAATAAATAATATAAATTTATCTAATTAATTTAATTCTAAATACTTATGTTTAATATGTTTTTTTCTTGCAATAAACAAGCTTTTTAAAAATTCATACTTTTAATAATTATAACATCAGTTTCAAATAATATTTATTGTTAGTTTTAACCACGACAAAAATCACGACATTCACAACTAACATATTTTCAACATCCCCAATCGAAATTTGCAACAAATCAATTTTACTCCCCAAATGTGCAATATACACCAACTTTTTATGAAAACGAATGACAAAAAAGGCAAGAAAATCAGAATCACCAGCTGCCTGGAATGCTTTAAAATTGTAAATCAATGCGAACGACCACAAGTGATAATCACGAGCAAAATAAACAAAGTACAGTTCGCATCACAAGTGAACCAATTTCCAGTAATTATAATTAGGTGCACATTTTAAATAAAAAAATAAATTTTGTAATAATATATTTAAACTTTATTTTTATAAGTCATTTTAAAACGTTGTAAGATCTAGTAACCTTTTTGATAAACGATGTTGAAGGAAATGGAATTTGATAGATGTACAACAAAAACAATAAATCATTAACACAAAGAGTTCGCAAAACACTAGTTCAAGTTTTAATTCAAAGGGAAAAAATTAAAGTTTTAAATTCATTACAAGAAGGTCAAGTTTTGCAATCATGGGAGTATGTAAAAAATTTTTTTAGAGTAAATTACAAGAAATTTTAATTATTTATGTTTAACTATTATTATATTTTTATTTTTAAGAAGAAATTAACTTTAGTATTTCAGTTGTACAAAATAACAGTTTTCATTTTAGATGTTGTACAAAATAACATTGTTTCCATTTGTATAATATAATAATTTTCACAAAAACTTTTTTGTCAATATAACTATAAAAAATTTTTCAACAGAAAAACTAAATTGTATTTATAATTTAATATAATTTAAGAACTTATTTCCACAAAAAAATTGGTTGGTATCATATTGATACAAATTTTTGTGTGACAATTGTTATATTTTATAACTTGTGATAATGTTATTTTGTACAAATATGAAAATCCAAAATATTATTTTGTACTATTGTTATATTTTAATTTTCAAAAATAAATTAACTTTTAATTTTCAGTTGTACAAAATAACACTTCGAATTTTAATACTGGTACAAAATAGCTTTATCACCAGTTATACAATATAAAAAATTTTACAAAAAAATTTGTGTCAATATGATACCGCAAAATGGGGACAGTATCATATTGACACAAAATTTTTTGAACAACATTGTTATATTATACAAATATAGATTATGGTATTTTTTTTACAGAAATCCATTTTACTATTGGCGATTCAAACAGCTACACTAGCGCCACAGTTGAACTAACGTAAGCGTGACTCGCTATAAAGCAGTCTCTGTTTTGACAGTTTATTTCAAATTATTTAATTATTCTGATATTTTTTTAAAATAATTTTTAAGCGTTAAATAAAAAAAAATAATTTAAAACACATGGAGTGCTACAGAGCGAGTCACGCTTAAGTTAGTTCAACTGTGGCGCTAGTGTAGCTGTTTGAATCGACAATTAAAATGTCTGGGGTCATCAGATGCAAAAAAAAGCATTGGCTTATGTTTAAGCTCCATTTTACCCCAAAAACATAAAGCAACCATGGTAATGTTTAGAGATATAAATTTTTCTTGACTTCAAAAATTTAGGGTCAAATTTTAATTTTTTATATACAATCAATAAAAATCAATTAACAACTTTGTATCTTTATATTAACTCGAAATTTTATTTTGCGCTTACCCATAGAAATGACTGATATTGTCATGTTTATTCACATATTTAAACAACTTTGCAACAATTTTCATTTCTGGCAACTGGCATACAGCTATTTAAAGACACTAAAAACCAAAAAATGAAGTTGACAGAAATGCACCTTATCAGTGCAATTTTATCAATTTTCTTGCGACTTTATCGACTTCTGGCAAGGTCAAATTGCTGACTTAGACTTCTGGCAATAATTTTACGTGATATCTACTATTAATATCTACTACCATACCAAATTTCAAATTTGCACCTCATCATTTTTTTTCATCAAAAATTTGCATTTTTCACTTCTCACCCCACTTCCGGTGACCAAAGCGCCTTCTGGCAGCAAGGTTATGTGTTTATCCATCAAAAAGGAAGGCTTTTATACAAAAACTTTTCTTGCACCTTATCGTTGCCAATTTTCGTAGGCAGCTCTCCGTCTATAAGCATTACGTTAATTTGTTTATATAGCTGAATATATTTTCAAGCGTATTTGTAATTTTTGTCAGTATTTTTAATGAAAGGTTTAAATATCTTTCACGAGAAATTGAAAATACTTTTAAGGGAGAAGAGGCAGAAACCTATTTTTTACCTTTCCGTTAAGAAAAGGGGTTACGTAGGGGAAATGGGGGCAAGACGGGATGATTGCCTTTATTCACACAATAATGGAGCAATTAAGGTCATATTGCGCATAATGTGCAACCCATATGACAGTTTTCAGGTATGTGTTTATTTTGTAAATAACAGCATTTTATA